TGCCGACTGGCATGCCTTGGCGCTCACAGGCATGCTGTGGCGCCTCGCAGCCCCGACCCCCGACCCCTCCCACCGTAGGAAATAAAAAAACAGTATCCAACTGTCTTCGAAGTCGCCGTCGTCGTCATCGTTATGGGTTGACTTCGTCGCCATTACTGAAGACGTTTGAAGACTGAGTTCTGGCTGATGGTTGTGCTGCTGATCTGTGGAAGCGGTTCTGGATGGTCTCGCCTCGACGTCGCTTGCATTTTCTTTGAGAAACCGAGGCCTCGCTCGAGCGCGGGCTTGGATCCCAGTCCCCGTTGTTGAAGGTCCAACTGCGCCGACAACCGCTCCCGGTCGATACTCCCTCACAATTTGCTCCGAGACGCCCTGACCAGAGAGGCCTCCCCCCACACCCAGGAACGGTGCTCTCGCCCGATATTTCCCCGCAGTTCAGCCAAGCTGGTGGAGCTCCCTCGATGTTTACTCCGAGGCGCCATGACCAGATAGTGCCCGAAGTTCAGGGATGGCCCTTTCGCTTGGCAAGTTGATGGAGGCCCGAATGCGACGACAACGGCTTCCGCATACTTTTCCACATTTTACTGTGAGACGCCCCGGCTAGAGAACCCCCCAGCCTCAGGAATGGCTGGTACTCTCGCCCAGGACTTCCTCTGCAATTCAGCCAAGTAGGTGGTGGTCCAACTACGGCGACCACGGTTTCCGTTCGATAGTTCTGCACAACCTACTCCGAGGCGCTCTGGCCAGAGAGGCCCTCAAGCTCAGGAATGACGCTCTCGCCCTGGACGTCCTGGCAGATCAGTCAAGTTGCTGGAGGCCTAACTGCGACGACAACGGCTCACGTTCTATTGTGAAGGCTTTACGGCTGGTGCCGCCGACCCTGCGCAATCGAGCATTTGATTAAGAAACTTCCGCCCGAAAAGCTTGGTCAGCGTTTCTGAACCAACTTGTCGGACAGCTGGCCCAGTTTCTTGCGCACGCGTTCCCCCTCCAGCGTTCACAGAAACAGTTGGCCCAGGTTTGTCTTAACAAATTCCGAGAAGCTGGCCCAGCTTTCTTATGTGAAACAATGGAAGCTCATGCCAAGAAACACCCTACTTGCCTCCAGGGTGCCCTGGGTTTCTTGGGTTTTGATGGTTTTGCTGTGGAAAGCGTGACGTTCCCACGCCCAAAATCGATGGACGTCCTGGGGCTTCAGGGTTGGGTTTCTTGTGGAAGGTTTACCTTTGGGGGGCATTCTTAGTCCGTCTTGGGGTTCTTTGGGCCCCGGGAACCCCGGGGGGAGGTATTCTGCCTTGGGACCCCCCCCGGGGGATCCCCCCCGATCCCCCGCCTGGGACCCCACCCCCTGGCAGGGAAGGGATCAATGGGAAGGGGCATCTTTCTGGATTGAACTACGACTTTGCTCAATTTCGCTTTGGCTGGCGCGCTTGAGGCGGAGGGCCCAGGGAAAGGGGGGCAGCGGCGAAGGCGACGGCGACGACGACGAACGGCAGCGCGTCTTCCACAAGCCGACAGGATCGGCGGGTTTTTTCATCACAATTTACTCCGATATGCCCTGGCCAGAGAGGCCCCCAGACTCAGGAACAGCGCTCTCGCCCGAGGCTTCCTCGCAATTCATTCATCTTGGCGAAGGCCTCACTACTCGCGTGCGCCCTGGTCGTATGCATTCTCGCACTCAGAAGTGGCGCTCTCGCCCGAGACTTCCCATCAAGTCATTCAAGTGGCTGAAAGCCCAGGTACGACGACAACGGTTCCCGCTCGATACTTCCTGAAAGTTTACTCTGAGACGCCCTCGTGGCCGCCAAACGCAGGGACGGTGCTCTCGCTCGAGACTTCCTCGCGATTCGCCCATTGATGCGTTGTCCAGCGCAAGATAGCTCGCATAACAGCCATGGCGGCGCGGTGCGCACATAGAGTGCATTGCTGAATGATTATCCCAGGAGCTGGTATGAAAAGAGGCCCCCCCAAGAAGGAGGCGGGCTCATAGGGTTAGCGTGCGGGTGCAAGGGAGAGGGAGCCACACATGAATTCCAATCAGCTTGTTCGATCACATGTTCGCAAGATGGTCGTCATGGTTGTCGCCAACGTCGTCGTCAATGTCGTCGTCAGAGAACGAAGGGGAGTAGCAGCAACAGTAGGAGCCGGATGCCCCTAGGGAGAGCAGGGGAGGAAGAGGAGGGCTAGGGGGGGATGGTGAGGGTGAGGACAAATGGAAACTTCAAGAGAGGGGATGAAGGGTTGGGAGGTAGGAGGAGAAGAAGGAGGAGGAGGAGGAGGAGGACATCGGCAACATTGAGTGTGAGGAAGAAAATGATGAGGAGCAGGAGGAGCAGTAGAAGAAGGGCATAGGAGGGTGGAGGAGGCGCGCGGTCGTGGAGGAGGAGCAGGAGGATGAGGAATACCCGAGGCAGTTGAGGAGGAGGACAGGGAGAGTGGAGAAGGAGCGCTGTGGGGAAGGATGAGCATACGAGCATGAGGAGGCAGCAGGAGGAGAGGATCAACGAGAGCAGGAGAAGGAAGAGGAATGATGGGGTGGTGGAGGAGGTGAGGAGGAGCGCGGGAAGGAGGAGAGGGGAAGAGGAGAGAGGCGGAGGAGGAGGAGGAGGAGGAGGAGGAGGAGGAGGAGGAGGAGGAAGAGCAGCAGCAGCAGCAGCAGGAGGGCCAGCGTGCCGCGAGCCCGCCGCCGACCTCCTCCTCCTCCTCCTCCCTGATTGCCGATCCCTTTTGAGCGAGGAGGGAGGGAGGGAGGAGGCCGCTCCCCGCTGCCTGCAGTCGCTTCCCCTTCCTGTCCCTAGCCGCACTTCTCGGTCCCCTCCCCCCTTCCCCTCGTTCCGAGCTCCCCCCTCCCCCCTTCCAGCCTCGGCCGTCCCGCCCCCGCCTCTCTCCCTCGGTCCCCCCCCCCTTCCCTCCCCTCCTCCAGGAAAGGCCCCCCCCCTCCCCCGCCCCTTCGGCTCCGCCCGCCCGGTTTCCCGCCTCCCTTCTCCCTTCCTTTCCTTCCTCCTTACCTCTCCCCCTCCCCCCATCAGTTACACATCCCCCCTCCCTCTCCCCTCATCCCTCCCTCCCTGCCCCTCTTCTCCTCCTCCTCCTGCTCCTCCTGCTCCTCCTGCTCCTCCTCCTCCTCCTCCTCCTCCTCCTCCATTCCTTTTGCTGATGAATAACTTTTCCCTGTCGCACACCGAGGCCTGTTCTTAGAGCGGGCCGGGCGTTTCGCCTGAGACTTCCTCACCACTTATGATTCTGATTCTTAAACATCGGCAACAGCTTCACAGATGGAGGGCGGGTCGTTTTCAAACTGTGGCTATCGCCTTAGCGACGCGCACAATTGTTGTAAACATCGCAAGAGTTTCACGGATTGAGGGCGGTTGGTTTTCATCATGTGGTTCTCGCCTTAGCACCGCGCACATTCGTTTTACTAAATTGCTAGAGATTCCCGGATTGAGGGCGGGTGGTTTTCAAAGTGTGGTTATCGCCTTAGCACCGCGCACATTCGTTTTAAACATTTGACAGATATTCACGGATTGAGTGCGATCGGTTTTCAAAATGTGGTTCTCGTTTTAGCGCCGCGTACATTCGCCTTACAAATTTGCAAGAGTTTCACGGGCTGAGGGCGGTTCTTTTTCAACATGCTGTTCTCGCATTAGCACCGCGCACATTTGTTCATACAATTTGCAGGAGTTTCACGGACTCCCATGATCAACGTACCAGAACCGGCGTTTGGGAAGGATTTAGGATTATGAGGGTGCAACAGCTAATTGCGTTGATTCGGGGTGTTGAAGTCCCAGGACTGGCGTTCTGGCACGATTAAGGATCGGCAAGATGCAACAGTCAGGTTGATCCGTCGCGTTGGAATCCCGAGAACAATGTTTGGGCATGCTGCAGGGTCTTCAAATGGTTGTTTTCCAACGAGGCAGTTCCCTCAGTGGAAATGAAGTGTTGTAGGGGCATCTGAAGAGGGAGCTTGGAGGGAGGGTTTATTTCAACATCGTTGGTGACTAGTGGGTTTACACTGGTCCTCCTCCTCCTCCTCCTCCTCCTTGTCCTCCTGCTGCTCCTCCTCCTCCTCCTCCTCCTCCTCCTCCTCCTCCCTCCTCTCCTCCCTCTCCGCCCGTGCCTCCATCATCTTCCCCCCAGAACCTCGCTGCACCCGCTCCACCCCGCACCCTCTCCTTGTTCGTGCAAGCACGAGTGCCACACACACACACCCACACACACACACACACACACGCACACGCACACGTACACGCACACACATACACACACAGACGCACACAGACGCACACGCACACCGCACAGACGCACACACGCACGCACACACGCACACGCACACAAACACAATCATAAACACAAGCACAAACACTAACACAAACACAAACACAATCACAAGCACAAACACAAGTACACATACAGACACAAGCAAAAACACAAGCACAAACACAAACACAAACGCAACCGCACACACACATACACACACACACACACACGCACGCACACACGCACACACGCACACACGCACACACGCACACACGCACACACGCACACACGCACACACGCACACACGCACACGCACACGCACACGCACACGCACACGCACACGTACACGCACACACGCACACACGCACACACGCACGCACAGACGCACTCACGCACACAAACACACGTGCGCACACACCATTCCTCAAGCGTCAGAGACGCGAGGCCTCGAAGGGCAAATACCGTGGCGACGAGAGGCGCTCCTTGGGCGAAGGGGAAACACCGAGCGAGCGAACCAGGAGTCGCCCCCCCTCCCCTCCGCCCCCCCTGGTCTAGGCCTCCCAGACGGGGTCGGAGTAGATGGGGCCGGAGGACCGCGCAGCATCGCCGATGCATCGGCGATGCGGCTCGATGTGAAGCCCGATCTTCTCCACGCCGCCGTCGTGCGTGCATCGCCAACACATGGCCGATGCATCTCATCGATGCATCGGCGAGGCGGCGCGATCCTCCGATCCCATCTGCATGGGAGGCCTCTACCTGGGCTGCCCCAGGAGGAGGAGGAGGCGGAGGAGGAGGCGGAGGAGGCGGATCCTCCCTGCCCTGCCCCGCGCATTACCCAGCTGCTCGGGGGCGCCGCGCGCGCCGGGCCCCGCCCCCGCGGCGTACCTCGGCGGCCCCGGCGGGGCGCACCGGCCGCCGGCCAGAGGCCCCCTCCTCTTGAGGAGCTGCTGCCCGCCTTGGCTACGGGGGGGAACGCCAAGGGGGGGGGCATGACTACAGTCAACCCGCATAGTAAGGATGGGCAATTTTCCTAAGGGTACCCTTGCATCCCTACCTTCTCGGTCCATCCTTGGCCACTCTCGCTGGCCGCGCCCCGCTCGAAAAGCTTTGAAGTGGCCTTCCAAGGCCCTTGCATCCTTATCGTGCATCCTTATGATACGGGTCGACTGTACGGCAGGTTCGCGTCGTGTCGATCGGCGGCGACGGCGTTCAACGTGGAAAGCCGCCAGCGACCCAGAATTGGCCCCCTCCTCGGGGGGCAGCTGCTCGCCGTTAACTGGGGGGGGCAGGGGGGGGGGCCATGACTACGGCAGGTTCGCGTCGTGTCGATATCGATCATGAACGGGGGCGATCTCAAAGAAGTTGTCATGTTCCCAACTTCCAGTGGCACAGGACATGATGTGCGCATCTGGTATCTGCAGGCTGTCCAGAAGTCCCGCTGCATGCACTTCATTGTGCTTGCAGTCTGGGAGCCTCTTAGGGACAAAGTGCTCACTCTGGTTGGCGTCGTGTCGATAGGCGGCGACGGCGTTCAACGAGGAACGCCGCCGGCGACCCAGAAGTTGGCCCCATCCTCGGGGGGCGGCTGCCCGCCTTGGCCCCAGGGGGGGCCCATGGGGGGGGCAGGGCTACGGCAGGTTCGCGTCGTGTCGATCGGCGGCGACGGCGTTCAACGGTGAGCGCCGCCACCGACCCAGAATCGGTCGACGTTGAACGATCTGACGTTTCGGAAGCGGTCGATCGTTCAAAGTTGAATGATCCCCGCGGTGTTGGGAACCAATCCCCCCTTGAGCACATCCCCCCTAGCGTTGCCCCTCGGAGGGTCGGCTACTATGGCCGGGGACATGACCTCTCCCCAGATGTCATGGTTTTCTCGCGTGTGGATCGAAGGGTTGTCTGATGCCTACGCCCTGCGCGCCGTTTGGGCGACTGGCTGCCTTGATTCGGCCACGCTCTGAGCGGGGGAGGGGAATGGGGGGAAGGCTGCTTAGAAGCACCTCTGCTTCTTAGAAGGCGCGGGCCTTGTCTGGAGATGCAAGGCCAGCCCCTTCTAAGGAGCAGCCTCCTTCTAGGAAGCCTTCCCCCCTCCCCCCCTACCCCCCTCTGCGCGCCGCCAGTTGCTGGCGTCTTGTTCTTTCCATGCGTCCCCTGCTCCCCGCCCCCCCCCCGTCCGAGCACATGCCTCGGGCCAGGGTTTGCCAACCCCGCTCTTCGACACCCCCCTCACTGGGCCCCCGCCCCCGACTGGGCCTCGCAGTGCGCCCTGGCCGGGCGCCAGCTCCGCTCGGCTGGCCCGACCAGGGCCAGACGGGCCAGGGCCCAGCGAGGCCGGACGACCCAGGAGACGTCGTCGACGTCGTCGTGTTGGGGGTGTTTGGGCTTGAGTCGGGCGTGCCCCTCTACAGGAGGAAGATTCAAGACCAATTGAAACATAGTCTGGTGACGATTTTTCGTGCACTTGTGACTCTTATTGCTTACTTGTGGACTATTTTCATTTTTCTCCCAAGACACGTCTGCAAGAGACATGCCCGACCCAAGTCTGGGCGCTTGTGGAGGACTGGGAAGCTGGCCAGGGCCAGGGTGGACCCAGGGAGGGGGTCCGCAGGCCCACCTGGAGCGGGCTCCGGTCGGGGCCAGAGCGGAGGGGGCGGCCCCTCTCGAGGCCATGCTCCCACAAGATGGGGGCGATCCCAAAGAAGTTGCCACACCCCCAAGTTCCAGTGGCACGGGACATGATGTGGATATCTGCAGGCCGCCCAGAAGTTCCGTTGCCTGCGCTTCCTGTTGTTTGCAGTCTGGGAGCTCTGTGGGGACGGAGTTCTCATTCTTGTTGGGGTCGGGCCCACTGCCACATCGCACTCGTCACAGAGCAATTGGTTACCTTGATCGCAATGCGTTCTAAAGGGGGAGGAGAGGCTCTCGAGGATCGAGGAGGAGGAGGAGGAGGAGGAGGACCAGTGTAAGCCAAAGACGCATCAACAACATTGGAATAAACCCTCCCTCCAAGTTCCATGTCATAGGTTCCTATAAGTCTTCATTTCACTGAGAGAAGGGCCCCGTTGGAAGGCGAACCGTTTCTGAAAATCGGGAACTGTGCCAGAGCACCATTCCTGGGACTCCAACGCCGCGAATCACCGTTATTGATGCGTCTTCACGATGCTGAGTCGTGCCAGAACATTATTCCTGGGACTGCAACACTGCGAACCCACGTGACTGTTGCGCCCTGGCATTCCGACATCGTGCCAGAACGCTGGGCTTGGGGACGTTAGCCATGAGAACCCTGGACTGCTGCAAACTCTTAAGACGAATGTGCAAGGCGCGAAGGTGAGAGCCACATTTTGAAAAGGAACCCGCCCTCCATCCGTGGAACTCTTGCAAATGCTTTAAAAGAATGCTCGCGGCGCTAATGCGAGACCTCCTCCTCCTCGTGCTCCTCCTCCTCCTCTCCCATCCATCCTCGACGACCGCGCGGACGACGACCACGACCACCACGACCACGACCACGACCGCGACCGCGACCACGACCACGACCACAACGACCACCATGATCACCACCACCACTACGACCACGACCACGACCACGACCACGACCGCGACCGCGACCGCGACCGCGACCGCGACCGCGACCGCGACCACGACCACGACCACGACCACGTCGGCGACGCCGACGACGACGACGATGACGACCCCCTCCAGAGATCTCTGGAGGTCCCTGCAGCTCTCTGGACGCCTCCCCAAAGGTCCTCGGGGGCCTCCCGAGGGCCCGAGCAGGACGCCGGCAGCTCCCTGGCCCCCCGGCAGCCCCCCGTCCTCGATCTCCGCACCCCTCGGCCCTCGAGCCTCGAAGCTCGGGCCCACAGCGGCCAGCCACAGCGCCCGTCCAGCTCGATCCTCGAGCCTCGAACCTCCTCCTCCGCCTCCTCCTCCTTCGCCTCCTCCTCCTCCTCCTCCCCCTCCTCCTCCCCCTCCTCCTCCCCCTCCACCTCCTCTTCCTCCTTCTCCTCCTCCTCCTGCTCCTCCTCCTCCTCCTCCTCCTTCTCCTCGTCCTCCTCCTCCCCTCGAGCCTCGAGCCAGGGCGCGAGCTGAGCGGTGCTCTGGCGATCTCGTGGACCCTTTTCGTTCTGACTTCGCTTCGCAGAGGAGGCACGAAGGCAGGACGCAGGAGCACGACAACAGAACGAAAACGGAAAACACTGTCTGGCTCCAGCCCTGCTCGAGGCCATGGGCGACCCGCCCGCCTGCGCCGCCGCTGGCTGCGACCGGCCGGGCACCAAGCTCTGCGGCCGGTGCGGCGCCGAGGCGTACTGCTCCGCCCTCGGCCACCCCCCGTACCGCAGGTCGCCGCCGCGGGCCGCCCTAGGTCGGAAACTGGAGCATTCACAGTACCAGTGGCGGGCTGTTCTACAATCCCAGGACTCTTTGAGGGCCGGGGACGGCGTCGGGATGGTGTGGTGCATACTGTATCTATTTCCCGTCTTTCCAGTGGAAGCAACGAAAAATGGGGATCCGCTTTCCTCGGCAAGTGTCAGCGCAGGGTCGGAGAAAAGTGTCGGTGTATAGAGATTGTCTCCCTACTATGGCACTGCTCGTGCCGGTCGGCCCTCTGGCCGGCCCGGGCCGCCTCTGGCTGGCCCAGGCCGCCTCTGGCCGAGGCTGCCGTGGCTCTCTCGGCTGCGCGTAGGAGTGACCCTTCGCTGGAGTGACCTTTGGTGCGGGCGTCACTCTTGCCCAGGGTCACTCGTTGCGAATAGACGACTCTCCCTGTCCTGGAGCTCCCACCTCCTCCCCTGAGATCCTGGCGCTGCAATGTTTTCACAACGGGCGCGTTTTCGCCCAGTTTCGGGCCCCGGGACCCTCACATATCGAGAGGTGGGGTCTGGGGCCCTGGGCGTGACTTGTCACGATATTGCCCTTTTTTCGCTGCGTCGGATCTCAGGGCTGTGTGGCTCGGCGAGATCCAGGCGCGACGGGGTGATGGGGTCCCCCGTCCCCTCTTCTGTGAAGTGCAGTGCTGGTCTTGCGTAGTGCTCGGTCGTCTCATTGCGTTCCTTTTCTGGGCGGACGAGGAGCCTTCGATCCAGATCCAGATCCAGATCCAGCCCGCCTCTCCCACCGCCGCCTGCGGCGGGAGGAAACCGGGGGTCGGAGGGACGCCAAGAGGCCATTTCTTTCTTGCTTGGGGCATGACGGGCGTCATGGCCCCCGCTCCCCCCTCCCCCCCCCCCCTATGACGTAACGCTCCCCCCCCCCCCAGTGCGCTCCGGGCACTGCCGCCGTGCGCATCGGGATCCGCGTAGGTGTCCGCTCAGGAATCCGCATAGGTGTCTGGTCCGCAGGCGTCGTCGTCGTCGTCGTCGTCGTCGTCGTCGTCGTCGTCGTCGTTCGTCGTTCGTCGTCGTCGCTCGTGGTTCGTCGCTCGTCGCTCATCGTCGTCGTGCGCGCGGACGAGGCTGGAGCCTGCTTTTAAGTCCGGGCCGATGACGGCAATCATCTGGGGGGAGGGGCTCGATGACGTCACGTTTCGCGCCGGCGGCGTTTGGGAATGGTTAGGAATGACGGAGGACGGGTAGCACGAACATGCAGGTGGCGATATGCACCACAACGTCTGTGTGCATCACAGTACCCGTGTGCACCACAGCGCCTGTGTACACCACACCGCCGATGTACACCACAGCAGCCGCGTGCAACACAGCGTCAGTTTGTGCCACCGTGCCTGCGGGCACAGCAGCTCCTGTGTACACCACAGCGCCTCCGTACACCACATCAGCCGTGCGCAACACAGCACCAGTGTACACCACAATGCTTGCGTGCATTGCAGTGCCTGTGTACGCCACGGCGCCTGTGTGCACCACATCAGCCGTGCGCAACACAGCACCATTGTTGCGTATAGAATTTCAGAAGGAATCCTTGTGACAAAATGGATCGCGTGTGGATTCCAGGGAAAACAATGGAAAACAAATCCTCATGGACAAAGCAGCGCCGCTGGAATCTACGAGTCCCCCCGAGTCCGCCCGCATCACCCTAATTCCCATTTGCGTCCAGGAGGCTCCACCTAAACTGGCCGTCCGAGAACCAAGTGGACCGATTCAATCGACCATTTTGCGGTGCACGCTGAGATGCGCACGTGCGTTGTAACGCCAAGCCGCACGACAGGGGGTAAGAAGGAGAAGCAGGAGGACGAGGAGGAGGAGGAGGAGGAGGAGGAGGAAGAGGTGGAGGAGGAGGGAGGAGGGAAAAACGTCGCATTCGATTATCAGAACTTTCCTGGCGTGGCGTTTAGTTGTCCACATCAGATCCTGACGTACATGCTCCTTCTACCTGTCTTATGCACGCAGGCACTGTGGTGTACACCAGCGCTGCGTTGCACGCGGATGTTGTGGTGTAGACAGGCGCTGTGGCGTGCACAGGCGCTGCGGTGCACGCAAGCACTGTGGTGTACACAGGCGTTGTGTTGTACATGGCTGCCATGTACACCGGCATTGTAGTGCTCCCAAGTATTGTGGTATACACGGGCGGTGCATTGCACACGGCTGTCGCGGTGTATGCAGGCGCTGTGGTGCACACGCGCGGCGTGGTGCACGCGAGCGCTGTGGTGTACACAGGCGCAATGGGCAGATCGCCACTTACATGCTGCTCGCGTCGTCGTCGTCGTTGGTCGCTCGTCGCGTCGTGCGCGCGGGTGCGGGTGTGGTGCCGGAGCCACACGGCGGGGGGGGAACGTCACGTCATACCCCCCCCTTCCCCCCCCCCCCATGACGCCCGTCATCGCCGAACATAAAGAAACGCCTTCCAACGATACACCACCATCCTAGGCCCTGGTCCCCCTCCTCCTCCTCCTCCTCCTCCTCCTCCTCCTCCTCCTCCTCCTCCGCCTCCGCCTCCGCCTCCTCCTCCTCCTCCTCCTCCTCCTCCTCCTCCTCCTCCTCCTCCTCCTCCTCCTCCTCCCCCTCTTCCTCCTCCTCCTCCTCCTCCTCCTCCTCCTCCTCGTCCTCCTCCTCCTCCTCCTCCTCCTCCTCCTCCTCCTCCTCCTGGACTAGCGTCTACAGGCCTCCAGGCCTAGGCCAGGTGGGCCTGTACACCGGTCCAGGGCCATCCAGGGCCCAGACGTGGGCCTGGCCAGGGCTAGTGGTGGTGTCTTGTTCAGAGCTCTCCTAGCCTTAGGTCGGGCATGTCCTCCTACAGACGATGTTTTGAGAATTGTTTTGATACTCTTCCTGCATAGGGATATGCCCAACTTAATCCCAAGTGGGGGATAGGGTCGGGCGACGAAATCTATACATATCCACTGCTCCCTGACCATGCCCATCTTGAACCCAGGAGCTGCGTATGCGCCCTCCTGGCCAAGCCAGGAGGGCGTGGCGTATACACCGCTGCGGGGTTGAGGATGGGCCTGGCCATGGAGCAGTGGATATGTATAGATTTCGTCGCCCTACAGGGGGCGCGGGGGAGGGGGCTGGCCCTGCTCGCCGGGGCCCGCGGCTCGGGGCGCCGGGGGCCTGCGGCTCAGTTCGCCATGGGCCTGTCGCTCGGTTCGCCGGGGGCCTGTCGCTCGCGCGCCTGGGGCCGGCGGGCCGGAGGGGGGAGGCAGGGTGAGCCAGGCGAAGGCAGGACAGGAGAGATGGAAGGAGGATTGGAGGGGGGATGGGGGGAGGGAGGGAGGGAGGGAGGGGGGGAGGCGGAGGGGGGAGGAGGGAGGGATGGGGGGG